TCCTACCACGACGACTAGGTAAGTACGTACGTTAGTTTTAGTTCGTTCGTAGTTCCTAACGAACTACTACCACTACACACTTACGGTTCGGTCGTACTCTATCCTCCCCCCCCTCCCCCCCTCCCTCTCTCTCTCTCTCTCTCTCTCTATAGAAATTCTGAAATCTGAATCGGCTTTCAATATAGAGATCAACCAGTTGAGAAACAGTTCCAATGCCCACAACGGCAACTAGGGCTTGAAGATTGAAGTTTGAACTTTAAACTTGTAAGTCACCAAAATAAGCACCACAACATAAAAGTTGCTATCATATTACGTTATGGAACCTGTACATAAAGGCGAGAAATTGCAAAGCTAGATCTTCGTCATGTCCTACCCTAAATCTTTTCATTTCACTTACTGGAAGCTCTATAAGCCTATGCAGTCGATCTTTGTCTTTAATACCCTGTCATTGACTATATCGACCATTACAAAGACCTATATAGGTTGACCCTTTCTTTACCATTTTTTCCCTCTGTATCTAGATACCGTTTAACCATTTGCATGCCCAATGCATGTAAGTGAAAAGACCCGAATGAGGGATAATAAGGACACCACATTTTCATCAAACATTGGAGATTCTTTCATGCATGAGGGTTGAGGACTTAAAATTGGAATCTCATTTTGGATTTCGGTTTCACTTCTCAATTATGAAACACACTACAATGACAACAACAAAAAACATTGAAAAATTAAAAATGGAATTCCTTGTTTTAATGATACTTTGGTTCAAGGTATCAAAAAACGCTAGGCTGCCAGCGCCCAGATCCTTGGGCGCCCTATAGTGGAAAATCATCCATTTTTAGCTCTGTAGTGGAAAATCATAGCATTTTTAAAAAGATTTGCTATCCTAATGTACATATATGCATATATAAGTGTCAAATTTTGTAATTTATTCCATTTTGCAACATATGTTTTACTTTGAGAGTTCAAAAATAAACCCCATGACTGTTTTATACAAACTTGTGGTCAAAATGACTTATTCTACCATTTTGGGCGAATTTAAAAAGCAATTTTTGCCTGACTTCACTAGGCACCTGCCCAGGTAAAAAACGCCCATTTCGGATGCCTTTTCATGAGGCATGCACTTTTTTGTTAAAAATGGACGGACCGTTTTTTTAAACAATGCTTTGGTTTTTGAATTAAAAAAGAACATCAATCATATTGTTCAAGTGACTTCATTCCTGAGCTAGAGTACCCTATTAAGTGCTCTTGGGGGACCTCAATTATAAGCTGAATGGACCTCAATCTCATATACTTTATTATTCATCCTGAAAAAATTTGGATTGTGTTCCCTTCATATTGGGATTACAATCCCTTTAACTCATGGTATACGGATCTCAATCCCTATCCCATAGATTTACATGCATCTCTTGATCACATGGTCCTGGTCCAGGATCTTACCTCGCTTCCAATCCCAGTAACTATGGTCCGACCAACATGGGATCAAGATTTCATTGGTAGTAGACTCTGCCATTCCTCTCAGCCTTTTTAAAATGTCACAAGTTCGAACCTTGCGCTTCACCTTAGTTCTAAGTAACAGCTATTTGCATAATAAGTTAGTACTTTTTAGGTATTATATAAATATTAGTTGCATGTTTTAATATTGATGGTGAGTTAGGGAGGAAGGTGGTTGTTAGGAGCTCTTTGATAATTGCCACTATTGTAGCAGAATATTAGAAGCTATGCATGAAGAACAAGCCAGGTTGTGACTCGTCTTACATAGGTGCTAAATTCCCTGAGGAAATAACAATCACAAGGAATATATGGTTAGGCCCCTCGATCTCGCCTTCCGGATCTAGATGATCTGGCGGCACGTATCTCGGGTTTTTAACGAACCCGGGATTTGAGATCGCTCTCTCAGAACCTTACTCAAGAATAAGGGTAGATATACCAACCGATGAGAGAGGAATTTAAGATGGGTTCGGGACTTACTCGGGCTAGCTTGCGTGGGCACCCTCTTAGATCACGAAGAAAGCCCCCCAGTTGCTTTAGCTGGTTCGGAATCGCCTCCCTCGAGCTGTAATCCTCTTGTTTTCTACACAACACTTCTATGGTTAATTAGCGAGACAAGTGGGTCGAAGAGACCCACCTTTGTCTTAGGGCATTGTACGCTTATATGAGGGAGTGATGAAACACAAGGTTCCAATAAAGAGAGAAAGGAGAAGAAAACTTGACAAAGGGGCGAGACTAGCATGACGGCTCGAAAGCTACCGACTCGGAGTGGTAGCAAGATGGGCATGGTTCTCGAGACGAGCACGGCGGCAATACTACTCTAAACCGAGACCAATATGGCGATGCTAGGCTAAGTCTACCCTTAGTCAAGTGAGGAGAGAAAAGAGTGAAGAGAAGAAAAGGGGACAAAGAGAAAGAGAACGAGGAGGCAGAAGGAGGCAAAACCCAGGCGGCAATGGGCATCGTCGTTGGCATCATGAGAAGGGAACACGGCCTTACGCGGGCGGCGATAGCCTCCCATGGAGCGCGCGGCGATAGTTCTCATGAGGCGCACGGCGATAGGCGTGGGATGCAGGAGGAACGACGACGAGCACCAAACGCTCGGACGAGGCTCACGAACGGCGATGGGCACCGAGCACGCGAAGGAAGCTCATGGACGGCAATAGGTGTTGCCGAGACCTCTAGTGGGAGGCGATAGGTATCGCCGTCTGCGCTAGACGCATAACAGAGGAAGTCCCCTACCGGCGGCAACGAGTTTCGCTGTCTGTATTCTTCACTAAAACGCCTAGGGTACATTTGTGGACGGTGATGAGCAGCGCCGTCTACACGCCTCGGTGGGAGAGGGAACAGAAGAAGAGAGAAGCTCGCGACCTGTGAGACCACCAGAGAGGCATGCACGGCACTGCCATTGCTGTGCATGGCCTCTGAGAGGAATTCTGACAGGGAAGAGGAAGAAGAAAGAGAAGAAGAGAAAGAAGAAGAAGATAGAGAAGAAAAGAATAGAAAGAGAGAGAAGATCCACCTCAAGCCTAAGGGTACCAATCAAAAGTTTCTCACCTTGCTCTCTCTCTCCAAACGTGACCCAACAATGGTAAGAAAAAGAAACTGTATTAAGTAAAAACTCTCTCTTGTGAGGGATTGAGTGTGTGTTTTTTTTTTGCGTACAATGATGGTACGTATATATAGAATTTGCCCCAAACATGGATGAATGATCAAAAGTAACCCTAATTGTTGAAAATTAAGATTAAAATGAATTAAAAGAAATTAGAAAATAGGGTGCAAAATGATAGATTGGCCCCTTCCTAAGAATTCGTGGAATTCTAGAACAATCCTTGTGTTGCCCTAGA